TAATGCAAAATTTGGAAACGAGTTGCTTAACTTTTCCCGGCGTGTTTGGCGCCATATATGATATGATATTTTATTATTAAAACCTTTTTATATTTTAAAAAAATGGCAAAAATACTAATTTTGAGGGTAAAAATGGTGTTTTTTTAAAATTATAAATAGTAATAACGAGTACAATCGTCATAATGTCCGATCCTACTGGAGATACGCACGATCTTTTGATACTCTCGACCTCTAATCCCCTTGCCAATTTTTGATATTAATGTAATTAAACATAAAAAATATTTAAAACTGAAAAAAACGAAAGAAATGCGTTAATTTTGAAGAAAAAGCTTCAAACTTTATTTTCCATTGTCTCGCCTTTCTGCGAAATTTGACATCAATGAGTCATTGTTTACACAGCTAGATGACCATGAGAACATCTGGTGTTGGATTTCCCGGGACATTCTCATAGACGTCTCGGTAGGACAAGGGTTTAAAGTAAGGTGAATACCAGCTGTCCTTATATCTATATCTATACTAATATTATAAAGAAATAATTTTTTTTATGTTTGTATGTATGTATGTAAGTTTGTTTGCAGCAGGTAATCTCCGAAACTACTCATCCGATTTCAAAAATTCTTTCATCTATATTTAGAATGGATCCTCGGAGTGGACATAGGCTGCATATTATTCCGTTAAACATTCATATAAATTAAAATATATAATCTAGGTTAAGGCTTTTATGTCCAACAGATGGCGCTACGAATACGACTCCCTAAGTTTGCTTTTCTGTGAGGCATTATGCTTTTCTGTGAAAATGAACTAAAGCAGATCATCTTCTATCTATTTATATAAATAAAAATGTAATGTTCGTTTGTTCCTACCGATTCCTTTGAAATTTTGACACAACGCTGCATTCGAATACGCACGTGTTTTTATATAATATACGTGTCGAAATTCCCCTCTGAAGGGAGATGGTTAGGATTAAGACTTACCGTAAAGAACTCTGCTTCTATTTATACTATTGTAGATGCGTTTTTTTTTTTGCGTTTTAATAGGGTACGCAACAGAATGTACACTAAGAAGAAATTTTTCGAAAAATTCCCCATCCCACGGGGAAGTGTAATAAATTTATAATAGATACATTTTGAGCCACAACAACGCGTGGTGGAGTCTGCTAGTTTTTAAATATTTGTAAAAAATTGAAATTTTTATTGCGATTTCCGACCCTCCCGACTGAATTAAACGTATATATAATAAAATCTATTAATTAAAAAAATTAAAAAACTATTGGAGGTCGTTTTTGACATCGGAAACTAGCTTTATATAGCTTTACCGAAGTAAAATCCGTGCACTACAACTTTAGAACGATGAATTAAATTTGATAAAAAAATCACATTAAAAACAATTAAGCGTTAATCGTGCGTCATTAAAGGTAAATTAAAATCGCAATAAAATTTTTTCGCGCGAGTAAAAATTTTTGAAAAAATTTGCAGACCTAAAAAACATCCAAAAATCAAAAAAACTTTTTTCGGGGGTCCAAAAAACCGTTTGTATTGTAACGCTATGTAATCTGCCCGAGTTAACTCAGAATACGGCGTGACGGGTTTTTAATCATTAAAATTTAAGAATTCTTAAACTACGAATTTTTTGCATTTCTCGATGCTTTTGAATTCAAGGTGTCGGCGTGGTGAGGGATGAGGCGCGACATATCAGGACGGACCAAAAATCTGGACGGGGCGAAAAGTTTTTGGGGATTTTTTCGACTGGTTCGAGAGGTTGCCACCTTAACCACTGGGCCATCCGGCCAAACAGAGTCACGTCTAACCACAGCCGCAAGATGAAGTCACAAAACGGGCCATAACAACACACACTGATAAAGTTATCGTAGCTATATGTTGTACCATATTAATTATTATTGCATTTAACTCTAGAGTTAAAAGAAATAATACTTAATATGGTTGATGTACTGTACCTGTTGTGGCCATATTAAGACAATTATCAACTTTAGAAAATATTTTGATATTATTTACAATTTTTTAAAGCAATGAAACATTGTAAAAATAATGAAAAAAACATGTTCTATTTCAGTTTATTGAATCAACTTTTATTAATTTTAACATTTTATAAACGAAATTTAGAATTTTTTAAAACATCGTAGAAATCACCAGTTTTGATCATGCTTATACCAGTTCAGATCAATTTGTGTACCTGTTGTGACCATTCCATGTTTAATGAAAGCAAAACTATTTTACGAGAATATTTATTAATATAATTTAAAAAATTAAGCATATTAATAGTCAATGGCCTCTGAATATTCCTGCTTTTAAACTAGTGAAATGACCAAGAAAAAATAATTTGTAGTTTTATATCCATCAATCTTTTTTTATATTATCGATATTATTTTATCCACAACAGACTTAACTTATAGAAAAAACATTACTGCCACAGAAAATTATTGTATAGCTTACTTATAAAACTATTTAATTTTTATTTGACTGAAAATCCTAATATAAATATAATACTTCAGTAGTGCATATGGAATCCACATGGTGGCCATAACTGGTGCATCATGAAATAATTTGATGACCTTGTGGCCATGACTGTTTTTAAATATAATCAACTAAATAACCTTTAAAAAATTCTCACACTTTTTAAAGCTTCCTATGTTAGAATAAAAGAACATTTAGAGAACTGAATTATATATTTATTAAAATATAACCTGATACTTATCTCTTGGTTCCTTACGACTTGTTAATATATAAAAGTAATTCAAATTTGTATTACCAAAATTAATCTATTTTATCTTCTTGTTTAAATATATTTTCTAGTGAAAAAAACGTGCAAACCGCCTCAGGCATCGTGTTCAGAGCTAGGATGTTTTTATTGTAGGCTGTGGTTTAACTCCGTTTGGGAAAAAAATTTGAATCGACATAATGTGACTTCCGTTCCAAACCAAAATTTGGTATATAGTTAATGTGGATCTCTTGCCTCTAAGCTTTCTCGACTTTCATCTATCTAACTCCTATCTCGACGTTGAGGAAGCAAACACAATCAGACTGGAAACAAGAAGACGACAGTCGAAATTTATAGGTTTACAATATTTTTAAATTGAAGTAAAGAAATTTTTCTGTTAACATCTATTGCATACGAACAACGAAAGGACATCGAAATGATGGCGGATCTTGTATGCTTTCAATCATTTTTCAGTTTTGAAGGTAAAATTTTTAAACAGTTAAGGGGGGTCCCGATGGGCAGTCCAATGTCTGGCCTGCTCTGTGAGTTAGTTTTGAGAAAAATGGAGCGCTCTGCACTTATCAACTATAATAAAGACATGATCCTATACAAAAAATACGTCGATGATGTGCTAATTGTATGGAAGAACGAGACAAAGATACAACAATTCTTGAGCCAAATGAATTCCAACCAGCATGGTTTAAAACTGAACCGAGAACAGATTAGTAGCAAAGAACTACATTTCTTGGACGTTAACATTGAATTTAGGAATGGATCACTATACACAAAGGTGTATATCAAGCGCACTCATGATACGATATACTGTATATACCAGCGACATCTAATGATCCAACTGTATATAAACTCTCTGCCTTTAGGGCGCTAATCAGAAGAGCGTTTCTGTATTGCTCCAACGTAATAGACACGATAGAGGAACTGAACAGAATTAAAGAAGTGGCGAAAGGGTTGGGATTTGGAACAAGATTTGTAGAGAGTCTAATTACCGCATACAACGATCCTAGAAAGAGCAAAAAGAAAAAACCAGAGGGAAGCAGCAACATCACAAAATTTACATATAATAAACATCTATTCCCGGTTATGAAAGAAATCGCGAACTACAAAAACACCAATATAGTATACAAAAGAGCTCCCACATTATATATGTTGCTCAGAAACTCAGACAAAGAAAAAATTAATGAAAAAGAACAAGCAGGAGTTTATGCAATACCATACAAAAACGACCAATTAGGAATAGATAAAGAATACATAGGAGTCACTAAGAGAAACCTGAGCGTGAGGATGAAAGAGCATAAGTATGACGTTGCAAAGAGCCGATATGCAACAGCGTTATCAAAAATAGCGCAAACGGATGGATCCATAGTTAAACGGGAGGAGGTCAGAATCGTTGCAAAGGTACACTCACCAACACTTGCATCCACAACAGAGAAATGTGAGATCTACAGATCCAGCTTGACGGATCTACATCCACAACAGAGAAATGTGAGATCTACAGATCCAGCTTGACGGATAAATGTTTAAACTATAAGGATGCAACCATTTTACCGTCGGCATGGAAATACATAATCAGAAAAAACTCGTAGGACGATACAATGAAAACCTGGGTTAATATATAAAAATATTTACATATTGGATTGCGGGAAATTACCGTATTTTGTATTCCTTTTTATATTATTTTGTTTTTTGTATTTATTGTATTAATTTCGTTATGCTTATTTACGTAATTTAATTTCAACGTATGTTTTAATATAATTTAAATTTGAACGTGTTCGATAATTGCTTAGATTCGAACGTCTTTAATGTGATGATGGCCCATGAAATGGGTTGAAAACGTTTGTTTAGCTCAATAAATGTGCGTTCTCAGTATTAAGGTGTGTTGATGTATATTGATAAACGTGATTACGATAAAATGTGTTCGTTATGTGTATTATGGTATTTGATTTACATAATTACAAAAGTTATCTTATGTAAGGGTTTATCACATTCAGTTTCCAATCTAATACATTTAAAAAATTTCTATTTTATACGCAGTTTAAAGAATTTTTAACACGAGTTAGACTCGTTGTGAGAAACTCTTACGTAACCTTTGTAAATATAAATCAAATGCTATAATATAATTGTTATGTAATAAATGATCTGTATGTTTATGCTTCTCGTTTTTGCTGGAAAGAGACAGGACAAACTTTGTTTCGAACTAACGTTCATCAAACGCTCTCGTTCTCGTTCTGTCTTTTCTCACGAGAGTTATGACACATTTATTAATAATTTAAGTAATTACAGTTGTAAAAAAATGTATAAAAAACTAGATAAATTAAATTATGGAGTATTTAAACAATAATAAATTTGTAAAACATAAATATGAGAAAATAACAAAAAAAAACATAATGTCCGCGGGGTGGCAACATCCATCACCCCACCATCCATCCTGCCCACCTTGAAATCCCTAGATTTCAAGATTATTTGAGTTTTCAGGCAATCTACATAGCTGATTGATGTTTCGAGTAAATATTCCGTCCTTTGTTTTTATGTCGACAACTCTGACATGTCCATCCTTACCAGGGTGAGTTCTTATAATTCTAGCCAAAATCCACTTTGTAGGTGGCATACTCTTTTCTCTGACAAGAACTAAATCATTGTACTGCAGGTTTCTTCTTTTTTCTGTCCATTTTGGTCTATTTTGTAGTTGGCTCAGGTACTCCAAATGCCAACGTTTCCAAATGTCTTGCACCATGCGCTGGAGTAACTGCCATCGAGATAATTGATTCAACTTAATATGCTGAAGATCAGGTTCTGGTAAAGAAGTTAGGGCTTCCCCAAGAAGGAAGTGCGCTGGAGTTAATGCTGATAGTTCATTTGGATCTTCAGTGATTGGTGTCAGAGGTCGCGAATTCAAACAAGCTTCAATTTGATTAAATACAGTGGTTAATTCTTCATAAGTAAGAATTTGATTGCCTATGATTCTTCTCATATGTTTCTTAGCAGATTTGATATTTGATTCCCATAATCCGCCAAAATGTGGGGAATGAGGAAGAATAAAGTGCCAGTTTATACCTTGATTACAACTAGTTGAAATAACTTCCTGTTTAGTACTGTCTTTATTCAAAAATTGCAGTAACTCTCGAAGCTCATTGTTAGCACCGACAAAGTTTGTGCCATTGTCACTAAATATATCAGTGGGCTTACCTCTTCTTGAAGTAAACCTTCTCAAAGCTGCTATAAAAGCTGCAGTTGTTAAATCACTTACGACTTCAAGATGGACTGCTTTTGTAGTCATACAGATAAATAACGCTAAATATGATTTCCAGTGTTTTGTTGTTCTTCCATGTGACACCTTAATAGGAAATGGTCCTGCGTAATCTATTCCAACCTTCGAAAAAGGTCGCAGTTGCTGAACACGATATTGTGGAAGGACACCCATTTGTTGACTTTCTTCCGAAGCTCGATCTCGAAAACAAGCCATACAGTCTTTAGTATACCTCTTTACTGAAGTTCGAGTATGCGGAATCCAGAACAGTTGTCGAATTTGAGCTATCAAAAGATTAATGCTCGGATGAAACAGCAACTTGTGAAAATATTGCACGATGATTTTTGTGAGATGGTGTTTCTCTGGTAACAGTAGTGGATGTTTTGCATCAAAACTGATATTTGCATTCTGCAGTCTACCTCCAACTCGAAGACAGCACTGCTCATCAACAAATGGTGCGAGTGCGCGTAATCTGTGCTTTGAGTTATTTGTTTTAATTGCTTCAAAAACATCTCTAAAGCAAACCTGCTGTACATGTCGAATAATGCAGATCGCTGAATGTTTTGTTTCTGTTGGAGTTAATTGTCCTATTTGTCTGTTTTTCTTTTCTTTCTTACAGTTGTTGATAAATCTTCTGCAGTAAGCAAGGATGCGTTGAAGTTTTAACCATGAAGATGATTTTCTTATATTCAAAGGATCTTCAATCTCAGTTTTGCCTGTTAAAGCGACCATTGTCTTCTTTCTTTCTTCCTTAACATCAAAATAATTGATTGTATTTACTTTCCAAGTTACCTCCTCATCGTAAAGAAACTTTGGTCCATTCCACCATTGATCACACGAGTTTAACGTAGCTGGGTTAAGCCCACGTGACGCATAGTCTGCAGGATTATCTTTGGATTTAACGTGCTTCCAGTGTTGTGGAGGAAGATAAGTCTGAATCTCACTTACTCGGTTTGCTACGAAAGTTTTCCAATTTCTAGGCTCACTTTTAATCCAAGACAAAGCTATAGTTGAATCTGACCAAGCTAAGATGTCTTCTTTATTTATTTGCAATTGTTGATTCACTCGATGCATTAGCTTAGCTAAGAGTTGTATAGCACAGAGTTCTAATCTAGGAAGAGTCACAACCTTCAATGGAGCCACTTTAGTCTTTGCACAGAGNCCCTGCTGAGACAGAAAAGTGCGGAAATCACCAAGTCGGTCAAAAATCCAAACTTTTAAATCTCAATTAATCAGTGAGGCAACAATAAAACTCTAGCAATTAGAGTTTTATTGTTGCGATTAAAAGTTAGTTATTTCAAGTGTTTTTTTACTTTCCTGGCTCTGTTATAGAAAACAAAGGGAAAAAGTATGGTATGACATTTGGTGAAAGAATGACCCATCAATATTTTTACATTTTTGAGCTCAACACGCATTGAAAAGTCTTGTCAAAAATTTCTGATAAATTGCAAGGAAGTTTCTGTATCAGGAGATTGATGTTATTAATTTAGGTGGTTAAAGTTCGATGGGATAAGGAGAGTAAGGAGGTCGTGTGTCGTATCTCGAGTAGGGTCGGATTTAATGACGATTGTATTGTTATTAGTATTTACAAATTTTTTTTATAAAACTCATCTCTACAATCAAAATTAAGATTTGGTCATTGCATGATAATTAAAAGTATAACAAGGTTTTTTTATAATAAAATATCATAACGGATGGCGCCACACACTCAGTTTTAAATGGTACCGGAATAGATAAGCAACTCGTTGCTGGATTATTTAAATTATTTATACATTAGAAATTTATATATATATGTTCAAATTAGAATAAGACAATACGAATATTTTCATAAGGAATACTAATTTTACTTTCACTACAGTCGTTTATTTCTTTTTCATAATGGATAGTTTTAAAGAATTAAAAAAGGGACATACTTTAGTAGTCGAAATTGATTCTTGAAAATATATCTCAAGCCTAAGGAGTCTTGAGTAAAAAGATTCAGTTCTTGTGCAAAACACAAATATTTTCTCAGCCGTGGTTACACTCTTCAAGATGAAAGATAAAGAAAACCACGGCAGAGAAAAGATTTATTTTACCATCCGAAGATTGGTTCTTCCACTTCTATTAAATGAAAGTTTATAGAACAACGACTGTGTGATGTCTATCGTCGGCAAAATGTACTGTACTTGTTGTGGTCATATTAAGACGATTTTGAACTTTAGAAAATATTTTTATATTCTTTACAATATTTTAAAGCTATAAAACATTGTAAAAATAATGAGAAAAACATGTTTTATTTCAGTTTATTGCATCGATTTTTATTAATTTTAACATTTTATAAACGAAATTTAGAATTTTTTAAAACACTGTAAAAATCACCAGTTTTAACCATGCTTATACCAGTTCAGATCAATTTGTGCACCTGTTGTGGTCATTCCATGTTTAACGAAAGTAAAATTATTTTACGAGAATATTTATTAATATAATTAAAAAAACTAAGCATAATAATAGTCAATAGCCTCTAAATATTCCAGCTTTTAAACTAGTCAAATGACCAAGAGAAAATATTATGAAAATTTTTACCCATCAATCCTTTTTTATATTATCGATATTACTTTATCCACAACAGACTTAACTTATAGAAAATATATTTCTGCCATAGAAAATTGTTGTATAGCTTACTTATATAACTATTTATTTTTATTTAAATCGAAAAAAAGTAAAATCTTAATATAAATATAATACCCTAGTAATGCATATGTAATCCAAATGGTGGCCATAACTGGTGCATCATAAAATAATTTGATGCACTTGTGACCATGATTGTTTTTAAATATAATCAACTAAATAATCTATAAAAATTCTCACACTTCCCAAAGCTTCCTATGTTTGCATAAAAGAACATTTGTACAACTGAATTATATATTTATTAAAATATAAGTTGATATTTATCTCTTGGTTCCTTACGACTTGTTAATATACAAAAGTAATTCATATTTGTATTACGAAAATTAATCTATTTAATCTTTTTCGTTTAAATATATTTTCTAGTGAAAAAAACGTGCAAACCGCCTCAGGCATCGACACACGTGTTCAGAGCTAGGATGTTTTTATTGTAGGCTGTGGTTTAACTCCGTTTGGGAAAAAAATTTGAATCGACATAATGTGACTTTCGTTCCAAACCAAAAGTTCGTATATAGTTAATTTGGATCTCTTGCCTGTAAGCTTTCTCGACTTTCATCTATCTAACTCCTATGTCGACGTTGAGGAAGCACAGACAAACAGACTGGAAACAAGAAGACGACAGTCGAAATTTATAGGTTTACAATATCTTTAAATTGAAGTAAAGTAATTTCTCTATTAACGTAATATTTACGAGAACCTACCTTTTACGTAGTTTATACAATCTGTTGCCAAAATTTAAACACTTTATTATCACATGAAAGGAATTACTCTAGAATTTTTACAAGATTATTTTATTTAAACAAGTCATATAAAGTGTTTGGATATTAATTAAGGTTAGCAACTTCGATCACGTGCGGGCACATCACGACCTGTTGTGAGGCCCCGGAAATAGTTTTCCTTCAAAAAGGATATGTAAAAATTTGTTAAGTTAAATCTCGAGATAAAGAATCTTATAAGTGTCGAATCGGCTACACCGGACTTTGACGTCGACGCTTATAAAGAGTAGAGGGAAAAACAAGATTTTAGATATAGAAAAAGAAAATTTAAAATTTAAAAGTTAAGACGCAGTTTAGAAAGCAAAACGAAACTTGAAAAATTTCAGAATGAGCGTGGGAGCCATAGTCATTGATTAAACGCGATCAGAGTCTAAAGGAAAGTGTAGAATAGACCATCTCTAGCCGACCTTTCCTGTGACCGAAACCTTTACACCTGGAGACAGATGGAAGACCAATTGGGAAACGAGAAGAAAAAGGTTTAACCAATAAGCAATGATTCGATTCCCAGAAAATTTTAAAACTCCGATTTCAAAGACAATTGAGGCTTCCTGTCGAGTGCACCTGTTGTAATCGTCGTCCTCTTTTCTTGGTGCATCCACTCGCCCCTATCTTGTGTTACTTTACTACTCCGAATTTTAATTCGTCATCGCCCCGGGCTCCACCACCGCTAGACAAAAAACTACTAGACACATCCAACCGCCAGGACATCGACATCTGGATCTTTATCAATCATTTGTAAGCATGATCTTCGAAAAAATAAACGGTTTCTTTGTGAAACACTTCTCTTTTGCTGCCTCCTCAAACCGATAGACTTTAAGCCATCCGGACAGTAGGGAATAAAAACTCCCCCCCCCAAATCGGCGTCCTTACACTGTCGAACACGGATCACTTCTAAAATATTAATATTAATAAGTTGACCATCATATCTTCTATCGACTATTTTTTATGGAATTACTGCGACCCCTTCGGCAACATTTTTTCTTTCTATCAACCAGCAGCATGATGGCATTCGAATAGAAAGATTATATAATACAGGTTATCGGCGAGCACAAAATATGTTTTAAAACATGTTTGAAGTGGGTTAAAACATATTTTGTGCTCACTAGTTGAAATATATCTTAAAAATATTAAGATATATTTTCATTTGCTGTCTACTTGACTAATGAAATTGTGTCATTTCGTACTATACGAGTACCGCGATAAACGTGGCAACGATAGAATGTGTTCGTTATACGTATTATATTATTTGATTTACGTAACTACAAAGGTTATCTTACGTAAGGATTTAACACATTCAGTTTCCAATCTAACGCATTTAAAATTTTTTTATTTTATACGCAGTTTAATGAATTTTTAACACGAGTTAGACTCGTTGTGAGAAACTCTTACATAACCTTTGTAAATATAAATCAAATGCTATAATATAATATAATGATTAGAAGTAGGAAATAATCTAATAGTTTTTGCTAAATAATTTAATAGTCTNAGATAACCTTTGTAAATATAAATCAAATGCTATAATATAATATAATGATTAGAAGTAGGAAATAATCTAATAGTTTTTGCTAAATAATTTAATAGTCTTTGATTTAATTACATTATATACAGTAATTTCCCCGAACTTACGCGATAGGTGTGACCGAGCGATAACCGCGTAAGTCGAATTCGCGTAAGTCAGGGTAGCGTAAGTCGAAATATTACTGTATATATAAACTATATATGCTTTTTTATAGTTTATAAAGCTATCAATATTTAAAAAAAGTGATATAACATAGTGAGTAAACTAAAAAGTTTTACAGTTTTATATTTACTTGTTCATCTACACGAGGCTCAAAAACTATAGAACCCTAAAACCCTAAAATATACAGTATTAGTAAAACTCACAGTAAAACTGAATTGCACCGTTTCAAAAACCTTTACATTTTCTGTTTTTATTTATTATAAAAGTTTGAATTATATTTAATAAAAATTCGTATTATCAACTGAAATGACAACTACTGAAAAACATTTAAAGCTTTTTATTAATTCATAAGCCATGTTTAATTATAATTAATAGTACATAACAATTACCCGCTAAAAGTGCTACCATTATATGATGATTTAAGAAAACTTTTCATTGTTCTCTCAGTCGTGAAACTAAAGCTACAAATATAGCGATAAATAAAGATTCGAAACTGTAGTTTTAAACGTTACTTATGTAACATAGTTGATAAAATGGGGTAGAACATATGACTTTGTATTTTATACTGAAAAACGTAAGAAATTTGTCATTAGCTATTAGCTTTTGATATAGTTAATTGCCATTTTTGATACTTTTTTTAACTCATTCTGCCCTGTGGGCACTAAGAGGGCCTCTTTTTGCAAGCCATCTTAGTGCCCACATTATGGGTTCGGCCAGGCCCACAATGGGGCTGACAGGTGGTGAGGGACAGGGCCCGACATATCCGAACGGACCACCCCCCGAAAAATTCCTGGAGATTTTTCGACCCGTTCGGATTCGAGCCCGGGTCTCCCAGAGCTGTAGGCTGCCACCTTGACCGCTCGGCCATTCGGCCGCTGCCATTGTTGATACTGAAATCTATTGAGTGTTTCTCGCAATGTNTTGGAAAGACGTTCCTCACTGAAAATGATTGCTATTCCTTTGTTATCGGACTTAATCCGCCTCGACGGACCAAAAAAATATGTTATGTAATAAATGAAAA